GTTGTTGAAAGAATTGGTAGTTCTTCTATTGCGCAGGCCCGAGCTTTTCTCCCACGGAAATTTGTTGCAACATTGCAAACAGATGTTGTTTTTTTGTTTCCATGGTGACTTCAATATTCTTTGTGTGTATGTTGCATATATGTTTTTCTATGAATTTCAAGGGGGTGATACCATGGAAGTGAGGCATTCAACATTCGTGTTCGATTGGGGGAAACGCCCGGGCTATTTCTTCCATGGGGACGTCTCCAACAGGAACGTGTCGGATTCGATGGCGAATCTTGCTCAACCGGGGGAGAATGATGCAGAATTATTATTATTATTATTATTATTATTATTATTATTATTATTATTATTATTATTATTATTATTATTATTATTATTATTATTATTATTATTATTATTAGTTAGCTTGGATAATAAGTTAGGATTTAGTTTAAGAGTCCTATTTAAAGGGTTGTTGTGGTTTGTTATTAGGGGAGTTGATAGTTGAATATGAAATAAGATATTGTTGAGTTTTGCGTGTTTTATGAGAGAATTTCTCGTTTACTCGTTTTATCCTTCTCATTCGTACACTTCCCTACTTCAATTATTATTAATTAAAATTTGAGAAAAAAGGGTACAATAATTAATTAATTTGCAATTAAAATCATTTCATATCATTGAACTCCAAACGATGATTACTAATTACGTAGTGTCCGATTGTACCAAAAAAAAAATTACTTAGTGTCCGAAATAGAAGAACCACAACACATAACGACTGGACCATAAAACTGCAGACAAACCTAAACCTAAGTCCAAATCTGTAGCCCAAGTGACCGACTTTCGCCGGGCTTCAAGCGCCGGCCGAACACATTCTTCCCGCGCTCTTCCCCAACTATTTAAAACAAAACAAAAAAAAAAGAAGTAGAAATTATAAATAAACCGAAACTATGATCTCCAGATTAATTAGTGACATTACAAACACTCCTGATCTCTCCATTGGTCCCCGTCAGCACCTCAATGGCCCCCATCTTGTTCATGGCCTTGCCGAATTTATCGTTGCCGAAGAATTTCAACGCGAGTTGGGCGACCGGGATCTGGCCTTCCATGCTGCTGAACAGCCTCTGGTCCGACTCGAGAACCACAAACCCCGTGGCCACTTCCAAGTAGAACGCATTGTCGAACCTGGTCGGGGTAGCCCTATCGAGCGGCACCCGCTTGGTCCCGTTCCCGTTCTGCGGGCAGTCCCTCCGCAGGATCGGGAGGAACACCGGGTTGATGGTTGGGTCGGGCTTGCCCGTACCGCTGTAGTTGTACAGACGGTAGCTGATGAACTGGCATGCGGCTGTCCCGATCGTGTGCGCGCCTGATATATAACAAAATCATGAACAAGGATATTAATTAATTAACCTAAGTACTTAATTAATCTCTTTCTTAATTTTCTTGATCGTTAATCTTTGTTGCAGGGCTTTTGGCGGCTTACCAAGGAGGGCCACAAGATCTGTGGTGTTGAGACCTTTAGCGGCAAATTTGGTCTTTTGGGTTTCGAAATTGTCGAAAGGACTCGGGAGGTTGCTGGTATCACTCGCCAGAGATGTCCGTCCGTCTCGGCGCCCGGTTGTCATTTCCCAACGTAGTCCACCCGTCTGCGTATAATAATAGAAAAAGGTTTAACAATCAATGGGAATCAGTACTACAATCTCGTCGCGGAATGATTCTTTGGTTATTATTAACGGTTAGATATGTATTTTTATTATTGTAGGATATATAGATAATCTGTGGTTAAAACATACTAAAGGATTTATTCCGTGACGTACTGTAGTCATTTCAGTTACTTTACTTTTTTTTTCTACTAAATAGAAAAAAAGGAAAAAAAAAAAAAAA